AAAATTAAATGTTTTTTTTTGTTTTTTTTTTTAATTTGGCAAATAAGTTGGAGTCGCGCTCACAACACACAACATTCCATGTCACTGCTTCTATCCTTATCAGACGCGCCATATCAGCGCTACAAAATGATCGTCTGCAGCGACAGCCTTCTTTTTCGTGCTGTTTGTTGAGAGAACCCGTCTGCTAAGCCAGAGAACATAAAGACACATGTATATGTTTTAAGTTCTCTGCCTCCGATATTGTTGCTGTGCGTTTGTTTGTTCGCACCGACTTTGATAGATCGGTTTGAAAGCATTTGTTTGCATTTTATTTCATGTTATTTATTGGCTGTGTAATTGTTTTACTACATATGCGGCGTTTTTGTGATCGATTATTCGCTGGTAACAGTGGTTAATATTTAAGTATACTCAACCTGAGTAAAGTTGCAAACATTTCCACAAAAAATGTTATACAAATTTTGGTGCTCAGAATCTGAGCAATGTTGATAATGTTGCTACAAAAAACGATCTATAATTGTTTCAGTTGAAATGTTTGATTAAAATGGGAAATATAAATGATAAATTATAATAAAATAATTTATATTGTTTAATATACCAAACAAATCAATAATTGATAGAAATGCTCTTAACATAAGGAAGACTTTAGTATACCGTCCCAGGATTTCGGGAATAAAATGGGTATGGTCGGATAGAGGAGATTCTCTAGATCACGAATATTCATATTTCAACAATAATTTAAATGTACACTAAAAGCAATTTTTGCACTATATTATATAAAATAAATATGTGCAAATGAATAAGTGATGTGTATATAAAATTGAAAAATTTAAGTGAAAAATTAATTTTAAATACCGGAAATATGTAATTAAAATATTGCAAAATTTCAACTTTAATCGCGAATATCTCGAAAACTATAAGCTTCCTGCGGCTATATATATATTCGTGATCTGGAGAATCTCCTCTATCCGACCATATCCATTTTATTACCGAAATCCTGGGACGGTATACTAAAGCCGACCCTTAACATATATGTAAATACAATCGAGATTTGAAAATTAAACCTGCAACATGAGCTCCATGTATTAAAAAATATTTATTTGAAATAATTTATTTATAATAATAAATTATTAAAGTATTTTGGCTAAAATAGAAATGAGTGTGTTAAAATTTCAGCAAAACTGCTGTTCACTGGTCTGAGAAATGTTGTAAATGTTTTTATAAAAGCAGTTGTATAACTGCCTAAGTGGCAAAAGTGTGTCTAAATTTGGTAAATTAACATTTTTTGATAAAATTCAAGGTTCAAAATTTGAGCTGTTTAAAGTGCGAATTTCTTATCATATCCTCCAAAGGATTTTTAAAAATTAAAATTATTTAAAGAGCTACAGTTACTTTAGTGACGCAGTACCTAGCCCGTACTAGCCCGGTAGGTAGACTCACTTTTCTCGAAACTACTTTTTTCCACACAGTACCGGCATTATCTCAAGTTCTATACAACCGATTTATTTGAAATACTGTGTGAACCGTCTTTATATAATCCTTACTCCATTGTTTTTCATATTTAAAACAAAAGCAGGAATTTCAAAAAAAAAAAAACGTAAAAAATTATTTTTATTTTCAGACAGTCGCCATTTTTCAAAAAAAAAAAAAATTTCGTGTTCCCTGAAATAGGGACTATAACAGCATCCTTACATATTAAGAAGTTCTTTTTTTTGTTTTTTTGTTAAGACCACCAGGAGAGTCAGGATCAATGTCACCAGGATGCATCCCCCCTCTAATTATTTTAATTTTTAAATTTTTTTTTCTGTATTCTGAAGATATCAATAAAAATACCATAAAAAATTTATAGTAAAAATATTTTTGGTTTTTTTTTTAATAAAATTCAAAAAACTGCCTTAAATTTGATTTCTAGAGTAGAATTAAGGGGGTATACTCTACAAGAGAACCAAGTAATAATAATAATAAACAAACCCTAATTTAAATATAACAATAAATTTCAAATTTAAATTTGAAGTGTTATAACCATTATTAAAATTATAAATTATAAAAGTCGCAGAAATTGAAGTTGCCAACCACATCTGGTTGAATGCAAGTGAGTGAGTTACTTAAACTAGAATACCATCCTATGTATGCAGTATATACCCTCATGTCTACATATGTTATGGTGGTCTAATTTGTTAACTTTGATCATTGGATCGTTGCCTTGCATTACAATATACATATGCCAAATAAAAAACTTAATGTACTTTATCAAATGAAATAGTTTTTCATACTAGGGCTTGACTTTGATCGATAACGATCCTCAAAACTTTTTAGTTTCTTTGATTGTCAGTTTAATTATGTGGGGAAAAGAACAATTTATATAGTTTAAATTTCAGCATGAATTTTTCTGACTTTTTACAAGCACATGATCTGTCTTGTTGTGGCCAATGTTCGTTTTTCCCTTACAGTCAGTTTTTGAGAATAAAGACTTACTGTTCTCATAACAAATTACAATATGCTCCTACAAGGACAACAACCACAACCATTTCACGTTATAGCAATGTGAGTTCAAGGACAGTATTTCTAAATAAAATATTGTTTATTAAATTTTAGGTCAATAACCCCACAGAAAATGCTGATTATTTAGCTTTTGGCCAATTTATTTCCCTTTTTATAGACCGCTGACAATTGAATTTAACTACTAGTTCAATTGGGTGGTATGACCTTGATAAGGGTTATTTATTGTGTGACCTTGAAAAAGGGTTATTTAGAATCCTGCACTATTCTGCTATTTCTGTCAATTTTACATAGCACCAATTGCTGTTAGTAACATGCTGTAAGGAAATGTTGCGGCTGTTGCTTTCAGGAGGAGAGGTTTGACTCCAATATTTGTCGATCGAGGATTCAAACAAGAATTTTTATGCGAGAGTTGCAACGAAGTTGTGCTGAACTGGTTGGAAGCACAAAACATATTTACATTCACATTCCTCTACGTAAGGAATTAGCAGTGGAAACGACAAAAGTGGTGTTTTCAGCCGCCAAAATATTGAAAATAGTGCTAAAATAAAGTTTTAAATGCACAATAAAGGAGAAAATATATATTTATTAAGAGTGTGCAAAAATTATGCGCCAGAAAACTTTGTGGCAGTGAACAAAAACAGGTTTCGCTGATTGCTTTCCTGCTTTCCACGCTGCAGCCGTAGATCCTTGCTAATTCCGTAAAATGTTTTTACTTTATTTTCAGCTGACACTGGAAAACGCTGTACGCTTACCATATTTTACAGTATAATACAATGAATGCTGATGTTTTTTATTTAAGTTTTTTCGTGTAAAAACAGTGCAACGAAACGCCAAAAACCAACAACAAGAATTGTGTAAATGCCGCGGCCAAAAATTAATAAAAATAATAATAAAAAAAACAATTAAAAAATGAGTGATGAAACGAAATGCCAAAACAAGTTCGGAAAATCAAAGAATTCCACAGCGGCTGCGTGTCGGTGAAGACGAAATGTGCGCGCAATAAAGACGAAGCGAGTGTGTCGCGAACTGAACGTTGCGGTGTAAACGTGTGCGCGAGCGAGTAAACGAACGTGTGCGCGTAGCGGCGAGTTGCCAGCACAATTGCAATAAAAACAACACTGCGAAGTAATTTCTGTGTGTGCGTGTGTCGTGTACGGGAAAAAGTGCAACGACAGTCGTTGCAGCAACAATAACAACGCATGCACAATAAGCAACGAGCAGCGCATTACAAAAACAAATTGGCGAGTTCGCTGCAAAGGAATGTGAAATAAAAGCAAAACACTAAGAATAAAGTGTAAATTGCAATAAAAAGGTTCGATAAACAAGAAAAATATATACGTACCTACAACGTAAACGGCTGCAACAGGCATTGTGCAACTGTTTGTGTGAAAAGCGAAAAGTTCAGGAAAGCAGGTTTATAATGTAGCGAAAAGGCGAAAAGTGCGTGTTGTTGTTTTTTTTATGTGCGAACAAAGGCGAATTTCTCGTGAAGTTGCAGTGCTCGCGTAAAAAAAAATAAAAAAAAAACGGTGAAAATAAGTTTATAATATGCACTTGCTTATTGTTATTGTAAATATATATTTTTTTACAAATTAGTTTCTTTTTAGTTTAAGTGCGCTAACTTTTTTTAACGCATTTTTGCTACATTTTTTTGTTGTAAACATATTCGTTTCGTTTTGCGCTACAAAAAGCTTGTAAATAGCTAAATTCCGTTTATTTTTTCATTTCTAAACAAAAGCAATGAAGATGAATTGATCAGCAACATTATTATTTTTCATTTTGTGCTTTAAAAATCGTTAATTTCAATAAAATCAATCACATTCTTTCAATTTCAATCCCTGCTTGAAATTATGAAGAATAATCAAACAAAAAACGCCAACAACAATAACACCATTAATAACAACAATAACAACAACAACAAGAATCTAAATTACCTAAATAATATCAATAAGAAATTCAATAATAACAACAAAACAACAACAACGACAACAATCGCTAATAGCAACAACGCAAAACTGCACAATAATAACAACAATAATACTAATAATAAAAATAATAAGAAGAAGAATAGCAATAAGCGCACTCTACGATTGGGTCGTAATAAAATGGGCGGCCGCAAGGATGTGCGTCGCGGCCTCGAGCCACTAGAATTCGAGGAATGCATTGTCGATAGTCCAGAGTTTCGTGATAATTTGAATCGCCACGAAAAGGAACTGGATCACACTAGTCATCAAATCAAGCGTATTATTAAGGAGGTGAAAGATTTGATGAGTGCCGCTAAAGGTGAGTAACAAGCGATTAATCAAAATATAATGTTTGTGTGTTTTGTTTACTTAATAGCTTTAAGATATTATTTCTAAGCTATTTTTATACGTTTTATATTTTTAAATCTATATTTAAGTATTTTTCTTTTTACATTTTAAATTTTTCTGTTTTTAGGTATTTAAAATATTTTAATTTTTTTACGCGTGAAATCTTGTATATAT